ACCTCCAGGGAAGTCCCCAAGATCACACATTTTCTAAATGGTGGACCCAGGTCTGTCTGACTCCAGACCTCATGTTTTTGCCCGAAGGGTTCACTTCCCTGCTACCTAATTCTGTCACTCCTCCCCTCACATCCCTGGGTAGACACAGGATATCTCCAGGACCTGGTCTGGACACCTAGCTCCTCCCACATTCCAACCCCAGGATGCTTTCCCCGCCCTGTGCTCCACAGTCCCTCCACTCCCACCCATCACAACCACCCAGCACTGCTGAAATACTGAAAACCTTCAGGCCTTCCTTTTGGGCTGTTTTCTTAGCCCAGCTGGCCCTTCTCCCTGTGCTCAATCTGAAACTCAACTTTAAGACCCCGCTCCAGTGGCTGCTGCTCTCTAGAACCTTCCCTGGCCGCTTCTGTTAGAATTTATGGCTTCCTTCTCAGTGATGCTGTAACACGGCTTCTCTGGTTAACCTCCTCGCTACTGATGCTAGAGACACGTGACTACTTGGCCACTTCCCCAGATCATGAGTTGATTGTGGTGTTGATCGGATCAGGATGAGTGCCAGTCTGTGGGGCTAATCGTGTATCTGGAATTGGCTGGTTACTAAATTCAGTGTCGTCTCCTTCAGGAGAGAATGGTGTCCCGGCCTGTGAGGAGTTGACATCACTCTGTTAATTTTGAGTTTCCTATCGATCTAACCAAGCACTTCCCTTGGTTGGACCTTGTATGTCTGTGGAGGAATCATGAGAAAATTCTAAAGGCTTGTCGTTCCCCAGCCCTGTCCTTGAGAATGATCCTGCTCTTCTTTCGGTGCCACAGCCTGTGCCTCTCCTCAAGGTGGAGATGGCAGAGTCACCAAGAACTCACAAAGCCTGTCCTCAGATGCTGCAGCGTGGGCTGTTGTTCTGCACCTGGGCCCGGTGTCTTCGCAGGCAGGCGTTTCACCCATTCATGGTGTGTGGCACCAGGAGGATGGGGCAACTGTTCTCTATGGGACCAGCGTGGGCCCTGGGCAAGTCACTCCATATCTCAAAACTTTACATACTGGATCTTTTTTCCCCCTCTATCTTATAGAATCTCCATAATCTTCAGTCCACATGAGAGTGGTTTGGCTCTGTCTGCCTTTCTTCTACCCCCAGATATTCACTTTTTGCGGCTCTCCCCCCAAGACCTGATGTGTGTCCCTCCAGAGCACTGCTCTGATTCCCGGAAGATGTATCTACCTTCTCCATAAGGCCTTGAGATACTCCATGTGATAGTGCAGCAGTGCAGGCTGTCCATCCGAGGAGCTGTCTCACAATTCCCTTGCCATTGGTCCTGGTGGATTACAGGTGCCCCTGGTGGATTACAGCTGCCCTTCCTCGTGGGACATGGTTGTGAGTCCTCGCCGCCCCCCCCCCAGCCCCGCCCCCTTCCTAGCTGCCCTCCTTTAGCAGTGTGCAAGGTTACCGTGTCGCTCTTAAGGCCCAGCCTCAGAACTGGATGCAGGATTACAAGGGTGGTCTGGAGTTGAGCCCTGGGGTTGAGCAGACATTCTAGCTGTTAACACCACTTAGAATTATAGTGACATTCTTGGCCTCTGAACTCAGTTGGATCCTTGGACTGGTTTCTGCTGTTCTGCAGTCTTCTGATATCCTGTATTTATAATTGGTTTCATGAACCCAAATGTAAGGCATAGTTCTGAAGTCCGGCAGCCCTGGATTGAATCCTGACCCTGTCACTCATGAACTGGGTGACTTCACTTTGAGTTACTACTGTAAGTTACAAGCCACTTAATTTCTGGATGCCCCCTGTTCCTTCATCTGTAAAACAGAGATGACAGTACTTATGTGATGGGTTTTTGGTGAGGATTAAATGAGATAAGACATGCCAAGTGCTTGTACAGCACCTGTCATATAGCAAGTGCCAGTAGTGGTGGTGAGGATGATTATGGTGAACTGTGTTTTCACCTGGATCAAGTCAGGAGGCCTAGGTCTGGGTCTCTCCCTTTCTCTGACACTGTCACACTGTATCAGACTCAGGACATTTGGAATCAGAACCCCAGTGCCTTGAGATGCAAGGATTTCCCTGAAAACCTTCTCTTCTGCGGCTCTGCTTCTTGGTCCCAGAGGGCCCTCTAGTGGCTGATCCATGAAGGTGCAGGCTCAGGAGGACAATGGGAAGGAGGGGACAGGTGGGGACAGAGGTGGGCTGGGTGGAGAGAGGCTCCCCATCCAGGAAAAGAGCATGTGGTATTTTAGGGAGATGCCAAGGCTGGTGTCAGACCTGAATGTGGTCTCACTGCTCTGAAGTTCTACCTGTGGAGCTTCACACAAACCCCTTCTCCTCTGCAGGCCTCAGGGTGAGGAACATTGAGAACAAAGATGGACTAGATCCGTGTTTCCCAGAGATGATTTAGAGGGCCTTAGACAGTCATTTTGAAAACCAGAATGTTTATGTATCTTCACGTGTGCTACAAAAAATAGGAATTTTCAGATCTTTTCTCTTATGGATATTATCCTTTTAAGGTGAATAAAAACATTTTTTAAAATCTAAATACACTAAAAAAAAATTAGTATAAAATAAAATGTTCCACTAAAAAAAAATTTAGTAAATAATAGTACAGGTGTTACTCTATCAGGACAAAGATCATAAAAGTGTTAAGCAAAGCAACAGAAATTTGGGCGACACTGGACTAGATTATTTGTGATTTCCCGCACAGTTCTGATAAGTTAATCCTATTTGTATACTACCCAGTATTGTTCCCTAGCATAATGGTCACCAGTTATTGTTTATGCTGCTATAAGCTCTTTGAACTTATCCCTGAGAATAGGGATATTATTTACTCGTCATTTTACTGAACAGTGAGAGGCCCGGTCATACCTGCCTGAGACCACATTAGTGTGTGGCACAGCAGGTTTGGAACCGAGCCCATCGGACCCCAGAGCCACGGTCTGCTGTGGTGCCTCCCATGGACGTGCCTTCTCTGCCCACCTGCACTTGGAGCCTGTTGGCAGGGACTGGACTGTCCAGTCTTGGTGTTGTACCCTCGAGGCCCGCACGGAACAGGTTGCCTGGTGACATTCACGTCCAGCTGGGCTTCGGGGCGAGCTGTAGAGCAGCGCCAAAGGCTGACTCTGGGCATCAGGAGGCTGGCCTCCCAAGACCTGCGATATTGTCGCCTCTCCCTGACCAGTGCGATGTATGGCCAAGGGTGCTGGCCGGGGCGGGGGGAGGTCAGCAGTCCTGAAGTCTTGTCCAGGGCCTTTCATTCACCTGCTGCTTAGCAGACTTGTCCACTAACTATGCACAGTTGTATCAGAACTAGAGGCCTTTTTTCCAAATAGTGTCCTGGGCCCTTCTCCCAGAGGTTCTGATTTTGTATGTGTGGGCCTCAGAGATCTGTATTTTAGCCATTTTGCAAGGTTTGAGAATCATGGTGCTTAATGACCTCTGGGGCCCCTTCCAGCCCCCAAATCCCACGAACCTCAGCTTGGAGGGGCCTGTAGACCCTTGTGACCTTCCCCTGACCAAACAGCCTAAGTGATATGGAAAATAACAGTAAAAAAGATATTTTATTGTTAAAAAAAAAAACAACAACCACAAATGACCAGTGAAACCAGGCACCCCATCACTCACGCTCGCAGTCGCCCACACAGCCATGAACCATGCACACAAACACCCTGTCACCCACACAGCTCCCTCTTGCTGGAGGCAGCAGCCCTATGGGTAAGGGTGGCTATTGCTCTTCCTTTAGACTTTTGTCTCCAGAAGCAACACACATGAAAAGGCAGTGGACCGGAGACAGGGATTGGCAGGTGAGGGAGTGGCAAGGCCACCAGAAGTCTCTGGTCCCTTCCACTCCTGGCTACATATGTTCTGCACATGTGTACACACGTACTATACATGAGCGCCCACATGTGCAGACACATGCCCACAATGACCCTCCATGCATAGGGTTGAGTCACTGCAGGTAACACTTGGATTGGCAGACCTCTGAAACAGAGGGGAAGGAAAGGATACTCCTGATGTCCGGCTCCCTGCTTCCACCCTTCCCTGCATAGGAGTTCTGACTTCCTTGTGTCTATGGAAGAAAAATCCCTTTGGGGCAACTCATCCAGACAGCAAGTTTGAAAAGTGCCTAAGAATTTTTTTTAAAAATGAAGAATGATGTCCTTCTTGCCTTTGGCCCAAAGTGCTTGCGAAACTTGGGCTGACGAACCCAGAGTTCCATGAGGTCTGAATTCTTTAACAAAGACGGTTCAGGGGCTGCACAGATCCTGGCAGGCCCCGGCTGGTAGAAAGTCAGGCTTTAAGTCAGACTTAAAGAGGAGGCTTAAGGTGCTTGGAATTAGATTAGAGGAGTGGGACCTCCAGGAGACTGAGGCCAAGTGATGCTCCTTGGGAACCCTTGTTGCCATAGTTCACTGTCTTATGCCCGATGCCTAGCTCGGTGCCTGACATGGAGCAGACTGTGCAGTGAGGCAGGCAGGGTGTACAAGTGACATGTGGTAGCTGCTCCCCTGCTGCTCACCTCTCAGCCCCTAGGAGGACACCCTGTTGCCCTGCAGGGTCGGTGACCTTGGACCTTGTCTCTCAGCAGCTGTGGTGCTTGCCTGTGAGGCATGATCCCACCTCGGCCTGCAGAGTGTGCAGCAACGGGCAGGTCTAAGAATGTGCCCAACAGGCCCGTTCAGGCCCTGACTCCCTAGGGATTGTCAGGGAGACTCACACTGCCTCTTACCCATCCCAGGAGTCAGTTTTTCCTGGGTTTCCAGGGTAACAGCTCTGTGCGCACCCTTTCAGCTGGGGGCCCTAGTGCTGTTTCTGGAGCTCTACCCTCAGCCTTCCCTCCATCCTCAGGGACTAGCTGGGGGTCTGGAAGAGCACATTTCAAGATGTGGCAACCCGGACTGGGTATGGGGGCTTCCCTACCACTTTCCCAGCCACGCTCAACTCGCTCCCCGCCAGACAGGGGAAGGCGCCGAGTCCTCGGCCTCCCCCTTGCCTCCGTCTGAGGGCAGCTAGAACATGACCTCCTCACAGCTCCCATAATCACTCTCCACCATGTCAGAGCCCTCATAGTTGGGGGGGGCCTGGGGCTGGCCCCGGCCCGTGGGATGCCCGCCCCCTACCTCGCAGTCGGCGTAAGAGGGCCCGGCCCGGCTGAGACGCATGCTCACCCCCTTGTAGCCCCCTTCTGCCAGGCAGGGCCCTGGCCCTCCCCCTCCCTGCTGGAACTGCGAGTGGTAGTAGCTGATAGCTGTGTACTCATTGAGACAGGGGGCCAGCAGGTGATCCTGGGGACTGGGGGGCCGTCGGGGGATCAGATCTTCCAGGTTCTGGTTGCTGTAACGGGGTGGAAGGGGTGCTCGCTTGTTTTCCATCTCCAGTGGGAAGGGGAAGCCCCCGTAGAGGCCAGTGGGGTCCGGCATCACAGCTGGGTTCCGGTGGCAGCGAGGCGATGGCGGCAGAGGGCCGGGGGTCCCTTCGGAGTGGGGGTATTCCCAGCGTTCCTTCCTGGAGTAAGTTGGGGGCCAGACTGTGGCTCCGCCTGGGTACACTGAAAGGGAACAGCAAGATAGGGTGAGTTCTGAGTTTCCCTGGTGAAAGCTCCAGCTGGCCTTAGAGCTGCTCTACATGACTTAGCATGTGGTACAGATGGGCCGAGGAGCCGGTGGGTATGTGGCCCGTCTGTGTGTTGTCTCTGGCAGCTTAGATTAATATCTAGAATCCAATGGGGCCAAGTTCAAAGCCAGAGGTTTAACTCAAAGCCAGCGCATCTTGTAAATTTGTGCCACTGATCCAAGGGTCAGTGAATAAGGGAAGAATGTGAATGGCTCCATGCATCCCACCCCCATTCCTGGAGACAGCAGCTCTATCCCAAGTCCTACTGGTGAGTTTTGTCTCCTTAATTGAAGGAAACAAACACATATTTTGGACTAGGAGGTGTGATGGCATCTATCACAGAGGGTTATTAAATGAGATGTGGCTTGGAAGGTTGGAGATCAGGCATCCTTGGTCCTACCTCTGTCCCTGCTACTGAATAGTTGGGTAAGTTAGAATAAGTCACTGTGGCTTTATGGGTCCCAATTACCCTATTGGCAGAAAGAGCAAATACTTGTTTTAACTATTACTGAATAAGCCAGAAAATATAAAGTGCTTTACAAATTCACCTCCTTTTGAGCTGAAGATGAGAGGGGGTGGAGGTCCCTCCTCTGGGTCAGCCAGGTCTGGCCCAAGGCTACTGTACCTCTAGACTGGGCAACCAGAAGCTTGGACGACTGCCTCTCTTTCCC